TTCATCATCAAACGTTGCTGATATTCAACACGTGTCTTCTTCCATTGAATACGAAACTCCTAACAAGTCAAATTTGAACAAAAAATCAAGTACTAAAATTCGTCGTAATTACCTTCCCGATTGAGAAAAGCAACCAGATGCTATGTACAAAACTTATTCATATGATTCTCTCTTTTCATGTAATTTTAATCGTTTACATCTTGGAAACTTTGTGACACTTTGTTTAAAAAAAACAAAATGTCACTTTACACTGTAATGGCAAAAGTAAAATGTCATTTGACTTTTTGTTTTAGATTCCTATTAGAAACGCTGTTAGGTAATATTTTAGAGGTGATTTTAACTCTTTTAACTCTTAATGTATCAATTTTATTACTTAATACAACTTTAACTTTATTCACATTTCCAGTGCGATTGGGGTCTTCATATTAACCTCTTTATTTATTAAGTATGTCTATGGTCAACTGTAAATATAGATCCATATACAGTAAATGATATTATTTTTCTTCGTTCTATAGAAAATAAACTTATTTAATTATAATTAGTCTTCTTAGATGTGTTCATTAATTTATATTTTATGTGCTCTTTCTTGAAAAAAATGAATAATTCTTATGTATATCTTTATAAATTATATTTATTCAACATATTTCTATAAAAGATCGACAGACTATTCTCATTCTAAGACGATGACAGTCTGAAAACAACAATGCTATGTATAGGGATGCACCAGTACCAGTATACTGGGTACTGGTCATACTGGTAAACCAGTAATACTGGGTTTCTGCTTTCGAAAATAACTATTAGTTGAATGAGTAATTTTCTCAGTCATCACTTCTTTTGTCTATATTCAATTGAAAAATTAAGTTTTACAGTAGTTTGAAACCGTATAAGATATTGTATTCTCAGCTAGCTGATAACTTTATCTAGAACATTTTTCACTAGTTTTGAGCGTTTAAAAAAAAAGATCATTAATTCAGGTTGTAGTCATTGTAAAAAATGAAATTGTGCTCGAAAATCTATATTGAGCATATTATATAGCACTAAAAGTCAGTAAATGGAGAAAACAATAAATGTATATGTTGTAAACAATGACAATTGTCATTGTCATCAAGTATAAATGCCTCCATTTTTATTACGAAGTCCTCACGAGTGATCTTCACAAGTACGTTTCAAAAATTATTGATTTTTCGATCTACCACGTCGTTTATAGTCTTGAAATTCTTCGTTTCGTCGATGAATATGATTATTATTATTGGAACAATTATTCATCTGTTGTTTTATATAGAGCTGTAAAGTTCTATTTTGAAACAATATAAATCATTATATATATATATATCAGACAATAAATTATTGAACAACAATAAATAGATGAAAACAATTTTAAGTTCTAGGTCATGTTGTTTCGAAAGATGTGAAGAACTATCTTTCATTGTAGAAACTTCTGGAAATAAAATTATCAATTTAAATTAGGAAAAAATTTAAATCTATCTTCTTAATCTAGAATCGTATTGTAAAACAATATCTTTTTTATTCACACTCCAACCATATCAACGTTAATTGTTTAATGTAATTGATAGGTCTAGATTAGAGTGAAAATTGTAAATAGTACGTTCAATTAAAAAGTTAAAGAGAGATGAACTTGCATCAAATAGAAAGCAATACGGATTCCATCGAGCAAGATATTTTTATTTTTCCTGTTGAACTTTGTCATGTGCAACGGTACTATCATTTTTGTTTCTATATAAGATGTCTTTTTATGAACAATAGAAATCAAGGTCATTTAATTAGTGACTATGTATCCTACATGTACGCCCATCAACGACTATACGAGAGAACAGGAGAGACGAGAGAAAAGAGGAGAAGAGAAAAATGAGAGCGTATGTGTATACAATGGCGCTCCCTGGAGAGAATTTCATCGTCTAGAAAAGGAACGTTAACGGTTTTTCATTAATACCGTTGTTGTCCATAACCATAAGAAAAAAAAATCACAAATCACTTCTTTTTTTTATAATTTTTTAAATGTCTACAATAACTACCTCGTCTACATTGAGACGATCTGCTCGACAGTCAACAAACTCTACAAATAATACTACATCCAATACTGATACAAAACTCGCTTCAAATCAATCATCGGTCTCGGTATTGCCTTCTTCTGAATCCAATTCTGATAACTGTCAAAATAATGATATCATTCCCAAAAAAAATCGAAACATAAATTCGAAAGTAACGATTCAAAGTTTACCAAGTTCTGATTCAAATGATCATAGCGACATGGACTCTGTCGTAGCATCTTCATCGAATGTTACTCGTAAACGAAAAGAAGTACCACAACAAAAAAACGTAAAGAAGCGTAAGATCGACGAAAGTTTTACGAATAATCCAACAAGAATTGCACCGACTACTTATGAATCGGATACAGATGATGATCAATCTATTCAATTAGGATCTTTTAAAGTGTCTTCAGTTTGGCAATATGCAACACGAAATTATAAGAAATTTGCACAATGTACTTTATGCGACAAACGCATCTCAACAAGTAATTGGTCTACAACATATCTTCGTCAACATCTAATTAAAAAACACAATAAGACAGATTTAATTATACCAGATGCACAAAAAAATAATAAATCATGCAAAGTTGCAAAAAACGTACGAGATAAATTACACCAATTGGCTGTCGAAGCTATTATACGTGATGGTCTTCCTTTCAATGCATTTAAAAAGCCAGGTCTTTCAAAATTAATTGAAGAGGCGACGCCAGGTACGAAAATGTTTTTTTAATAACTATTTTTTAACACGAAAAAATTTTTTTCATAAGTTTGACCAGAAAAATATTCCGATTGAAAGTCGTCATTTTACTCGAACCTATAGTGAAATAATTTCAACATATAATAGTGAATCAAACGAATATATGCGGAAATATGCTTTTTATAGAAAACACAAAATACACGTTTGAACTGATAATTGCTTCTAGTATTTAAATCAATAAATATGAACATATATGAGAATGACTATCATGGAACCTTTTAAATTTAATATCGAGCATATCTTCATAGTACACCTTATACAATCTATATGTTTACTATCTAAATACTAATAGTTGTATACGAGAAATGAATAAGACTAAAAACGTTTTATAACCAATTTGCTTGATGTTTCAGGTTATCGACCTCCTCACCGAAACCATATTACTCGACATATTAAACGACTTGAACGTGATCATCGTTCGAAACTATTTGAACAATTAAAAAGTGTTGATCACATTTCTATAACAACTGATTTTTGGAGTAATCGAAGCAATCGCTGCTTCCTTGTAATAACTGGCCATTATTATAAACCTGATTTTGAATTAAAATCTCAAGTTCTTGACTTTTCATCATTTGATCAACGTCATACTTCTAGTGAAATAGCCAAAATAATTACATGTAAATTAAGAAAATTAAATATTTTGCATAAAATTAGTCGTATTGTATGCGATGGTGCTCCAAATTTAGCAAAGGCAATTGATGAAATGAATATTAGTGCAAAGCGTATATGGTGCATTGCACATAGGCTCCATCTTGTTCTAACCAACGGCTTAGCTCTTTGGCCTAAGAAGTCAAACAATGCTGGTAACTCAGGTGATGATGAAGGTAAAAAATTGACCCTATGATTACACATATTTTATTAATGTTCAATATATTACGGCTAAAGCTAATAAAGCATTTTAATTACATATTACTTTACCCTTTTTAGTATCCTGCGTAATACAGTGTGAAAGGTATTAAGTCGTAATTCAGAAAAAGGAAAAGATTGATTTGATTTACTTTAATTCAGAATCTTTGCGCAAAAAGAATTGAGACACATGTTTAAGTCTGAAAGTTAAATCTAACTCGTAGAGTAGAATTTTCGAGTAGAATGTACTCTTCAAATGCAATACATAGGTAAATCTATATACAACAGCAGTCAAAGCTGCTTTATGACAAGTGATCATTGTATACATGAAATATAATCAAGAAAAAATGATTAATCTGTACTAAACGCTTCATTTTCAAGTATATCAGCTTACAGCTTATAATATATTACTATACTAGCTCTTTATAAAAAAAAAGTCTACTGCTTTATTTTTCAATGCTTTTATTTTCTAAAAAAATCAAATTTCCCATTCAAAGCAACACTGTAGGTTCGTGTTATATTTATCATACAAAGTTGTTATGTATTTCTTCTAAGTCACAGTCAATTATCAAAAAAATAAAGCTAATTTTAGTATTTTACTATTATTAAATAAAAACTGACCTCATATTTAGAAGATTATTAGATATAAAGGATTATAAATCGGTATATTTTGCTGGTAATTTAATATTTATAATCTTCATTCTTTTGATCCTCCAAACACAAAATTCCTTCTAAAGATACTTTCATAATGTGTATCAATATTAACAAAAAAGATGCGTTGATCACATAGAGTTCATGTCTATTAGCTTTCTTTACATATGTGTTCCTAAATGAACTTTGTATGATAATTACCAAAATGAGTTGATTTCAAGTAATGTGTATGATAATTTTGGAAACGGCCAATCTGTTCCTCAATTTCTGATGAACTAGCTTAGTTGAACGACTGTAAATTATCTTGAAAGAATGTTTTTTTTATATCCCTGAGCTCATGAAAAAACTATGATCCATATTTATGCATATTTTGTTGTTATTGCTTATTTGACACAAAGTTCTTATATATAAATATAAATACTTTTGATTTTTAGAACCTGAATATAGTAATATGGATGCCGATAATGATACTATGCTGAACATGAACGAAGATACTTTACAAGATCAACCAGAAAGTGAAGATGAAGCTATTGATCAACAAGAAAGTGAAGATGAAGAAAGAATGAATGACAATGAAGAGGAAGGAGAGAAAGAAGGTGATGACACTAATTCGATAATGGTCGAAGACGAGTTTGTTTGTACAAACGATAATGATAAATTGACTGATAACTGGGAAGAAAATGTTGAAACTGATTCTTCTGATCCTTCCTTATTACTTCATCAAAAAACAATTTTATCATTGATGAAAAAATGCCGTACGTTATTGACAATGATAAAGAAATCTACTACTTTAACAATGTATACGGTTCGTGAACGTAATAAGTCTAAACTCAACCGTAGTGCCATTCCAGATGTGTGTTCACGTTGGAACTCTACATTTGCAATGATTGACTCATTAATTGCATTACGTACCATTTTTGAAAAATTATTCAATGATAAACACAATTTAAATATTAAACCCCAACAAATTGAAAAATTGAACCAACTTGAAATTTCTAGTACAGATTGGAATCATTTCAGTCAATTACATGGTGTATTACAAATTTTTTCTCAATCTACAGAACTATTATCTGGTAAAGCTTATCCAACAATTGGACTTGCCTACTTCTTTATATCAAGATTAAAAATGTTTTTAATGAAAGATAAGGATGACAATGCATTTGTCAAGAAACTGAAACAATTAATATTATCCAAAATGATATTTTATTTTGATCAAGATGTTGATCAATTAGATCTGCTAAAAGTAAGATGAAAAAGCTATGCTATTACTCTGTTATTTTCTTTCCAATGGGATGAGCAAAACATGATTCAAATATTCGAATCAATACTAATTAGTTTGCCAAAATTAGGTTAGGCTATTCTTTTGTTACAGACATGTAATATATAATAGATTGCAAATTTTTAATCAAAGATAGCAAAAAGTTAAAACGCAGAGTAAATTACGTTATCGAATAATTTTATTTAAATCTATTTGAAATTAAAAGAAAAATTATGTGTCTAGATTTGAAAACATCGAGTGGTGGATTAAAAATTCAAAGGTGATTTCGAAAAGTGAGGATTTATTTACTGAATCTTTAACATTAAAATGAATTTTTTTAATGGGGCTACAAATAGAGAGATAATAATAGCTACAAAAATTCATATAACTTAACGAAATAAAATTTCATAGGATGAACACTAAATGTAAACTGCTTTCACATCTTTAAAGAAATTCCTACGATTGTAAAAGTCCTATCATGCGTAATAAATAATTTCTAAATGAACGCTTTATCAGAGACACTAGAATGATATAACAAGTTATTTCATAGTTGTGGGTGCGAAGGAATTCAGATGATTGTATGAGACTTGATAGGAAGCTGGCAGCCTTGCAAAAAGAGTTTGTGTGTGGTTCTATTATTATTTTTTCAATTCTAGTTTCACAGTTATTTGGATCCAGATGGTTTTCGTACATTGCCTGATGCAGAAAAACGAGCTATAGAACTCGAAATAAAACAAATGTTTGCTGACAATTTATTACATATGGATCATTCACCATCAACATTATCTTCTCAACATTCTTCAAAATTTTCAAACACAGCTACAACTACGACAATAACTTCACATACGGCGAATAAATTATTAACATCGAAATCTAATAATAACCGTAAACCTACAGCTATGGAATCATTTCTTGATGCCGTTGGTGACGACACAGTTCTTACAAGTAATTCCAGTCAGCGCTCAACAATAGCCGAAGAACTATACAACTACCGATTATTAGTTACCAAGTTCAATTTTAAACGTGAACCGTCAGCATCATCTTCTTCGAACTTCTGGAAGAGTTATTCGATGAATTTTCCTTATCTTTGTCCATTGGCGAAACAATTACTGTGTACACCAGCTACAAGCGTACCTTCAGAGTCAGCCTTCTCCATGTCATCATATCTTGGTCGGAAAGAACGAGCAAGATTGTCTGGAGAGAACCTCGCTGCATCTATTTTTCTAAAAGTAAGTTCTAAAACTTCATTATGCGTTGCGTGAGAACATAAGCTGGATTTATTAACAAATCTTTTAAAATAGTATCTAGACCATTTCCACTATTAGCATAGCTTTGGAAAAAAAATTGTTTGATATTCGAATTTTTTTCTAGGATTAATGAGCTAGACTTTTATAAAATACTGAGTGTATTTTTTATTCAAATACTTAATAAATTAAACAACAGACAACGATTTCTGTTTACCATAATAATATTTTCAAAAACAAGGAAATTTCGATATTTTTACTTCTCATTATATTCCCATTAACTATTATGCATTTTTTCTTTTTTAGGACAAACTTGTTGACTAAAAATTTGTATTTAATCCATAATTAGGTGAATAGGATGTTGAATTATGATTATGTTTCAATTGCTACTTTTTATAGGTGTTTTTCTTTCTCGATGAATAATATTTTTTATGTAGATTTGATTTTTCTGTAAATTCTCATTGCTAATCGATTATTTTCTTGTAATATTTGTTCTTTCGATTGAGTCATATCAAACAAACAGCTTATTTTGAACTAGTAACATATTATCGATTTTGTTGATGTATAATGAAATTGTGCTGATTATACAGTATTTTGGTGTTTTTTTTTAAATTTTCTTTCGACATGTAATCTTTTATTGTAAACATTATGTATTTCATGAGACGTATATTATTGAATAAAGCTACTGATTATTTTACGGAGTCAACTGATAAGTAGATTATATTATTTCTGTTATACTGAAATCAGTTTTATATGTTCTTAAAAATAGATCTGCATTGAAAATAAAGCAAGGAAATTAAATTAAATATGGGATTAAAATGCCGAATTAAGATCTGAAATAGTGTCGCTCGATTCGAAGAAGCCACAAAATTCAGCTCTTTACTTCTATGAGATCTATGTGACAACACGTTGATGAGGTTCACTAAGTATCTGTATATTTTTTTCTAAATCGATTAGACTGGAGTATAATCGGGTATGTTCAACATAGTATCCCGACTTTTTACTCTCCGACTAAATCGATCGATGAAATTCTTTTTTTTTTCTTCAAAAGCGATTAAAACTATTGGAAAAAGTCCTTGATAATGTTATCAGTTCATTGTGTACAGAATATCGTATACTGTTTCAAAATGTTGCAAAACTTAATTTTTCAATTGAATATAGACAACAGAAGTGATGACTGAGAAAATTACTCATTCAACTAATAGTTATTTTCGAAAGCAAAAACCCAGTATTACTGGTCACCAGTATTTACTGGACCAGTAGACCAGTATAATACTGGTACTGGTGCATCCCTAACTATGTAATAGTGAATACCATATTTTGTAAATCCAATTTGAATCGAATCGAATTGATTTTTTTTGGTGTTTTTAGCCGAATCGAATCGAATTACAATTTTTAAAAGATCAAAAACACCGAATCGAATCGAATGGCACTTTTGTCATCGGTTTCGGTCTTTGGCTCTCATATCACTTGTAGAAGTCATATGGTTGTGCCGATATTGATGGCACGCTTCGATGATTCTCCTTCATTCTCTTTCCGTTCTCTTTCCATTGTTCTAATATATCTCTCCCCTGTCTCTCTTCTATCTCTCTCCTATATATACGTGTGTTACGTATGAAGCTGTTATACTTTGGAGATGTCAGATGTCAGATGACACAATACACCATCATGCCGACGGGCATAGGCGACACTCTAGTTTTGTCATTACACTCTGGATAACTTGAAGTAGCCTAATAAACATCTTTGCCGAGAGTGGCACAAGCTACTCGAATCAAGTTGTTCGTTACAATGGTAATTAATGTTTCTTGCTGAATTGATACTTTAGCATTAAAAGGAAAGAAAATACTTCGTTGATTATGATATTTATGTTACATCAACATATAAATATTTATTTATCCTAGTTTTACATTTTCCAATTTAGTAGAACCTATTAAAGTATAATTTTTTTGTTATCATTTGTTTATTAATTTGACTTTTAATAATCGATCTTCGTCACTATGAAACAGACAATGATTAGACATAAATTATGAAGTTCCTTCCCTAGTCAACTCTCCCTAGAAGAATCCCCAGGGAGTCCCTAGAGATTTCGTTCTTTTTCTGGGACTCCCTGGGGACTCCCCGGGGAGTTATCTGGCCAAAATCGATAAAATATCAAATTAATAATAAATTCTTATAAATTTTTTAAAATTTAAAAAAATAAAAAAGTTTTTTTTTATTTTAAGAGATTTCATCAATTCTCCCCAGAGAAATCCCCGGGGAGTCCCCTAAATAAAAAGTCCCCAACGATTTCGTTATTTTGCGGAGATTCCCCGAGGAGTCGTCGGGGGAGAGTGGATTAGGGGAGCATTGAAACATATACATCTATCCAGAATCTTTGTCGTCGTTTTCTCTTCAATCAGGACAAATAGAGACAATTAATCTTGGAAAGAAAATCGTCTTTGTTTGAATCTACGTACTCAATCAGACTATCTCATATTACTCACTGACAAAATTTTATTTCTATGAATCACTTTCTCACAACATTTATAGAATAATCAACAATTCCAATCTCAACTAGATTCTAAACTCTACTGCCATATCCCCTAATGAAACGACGGATATATATTCCTGATGTTCGAAGCTTCAAAATATATGGATCATATATATGGATGGTAAAGAGTAAATCCTTCTCTAGTCAACTCTTCCTAGAAGAATCTCCAGCGAGTCGTTGGGGGTAGAGTAGATTAGGGTTGGCCAGTTTCTCTTGAATGAAAACTCAATAAGTATTAGACACAACAAAAGATTAAATAATATATAGAATATAAATACTTTGCGTTAAAAAGTTTGCATGTTCTGCCACGTGTTTGTTTGCCTTTAGTTTTATGACTAGTTGCTGTGCCGATATTGATGGCACGCTTCGATGATTCTCCTTCATTCTCTTTCCGTTCTCTTTCCATTGTTCTAATATATCTCTCCCCTGTCTCTCTTCTATCTCTCTCCTATATATACGTGTGTTACGTATGAAGCTGTTATACTTTGGAGATGTCAGATGACACAATACACCATCATGCCGACGGGCATAGGCGACACTCTAGTTTTGTCATTACACTCTGGATAACTTGAAGTAGCCTAATAAACATCTTTGCCGAGAGTGGCACAAGCTACTCTAATCAAGTT